TCATTGCTCGAGGCTCGCCCATGTTCTGTGGTGCTGCGGTTTTTCTCTACCGTAAGAAAAGTTATCTAACCGATTCCATATTTTCTGAAAGCAACCTTCAAGTAGGGATAGCGAGGCAGGTAGGATTGATTGTGGCCAGGGCATGGTAGCATGGTAGGATTGACTGTGGTACGCCATGCGTGCTTGAAGATCACGTAATTGATAGACGGATGATGTAGATGATCATTTACATGTGTATGGCTACTACGGTCGTCAGTGGCGAGCACAAGCGTCGAAACTCTTTGTCTTCACCCCCTTAAATCAATGATGATACCACAGGTGCAAAGAGTAAAAACGGGTAACAAAAAATGTGAACCTGCAGCAACTAGAAAAAAAAAAGAGCAGGCACTCATACTGCTCCTGTGCTTTACCGAAGCGCCTATGATTCAAGAAACATTCTCATGCCTGACTGCCGGACTGGTGTAGCGGCGTGGTCTGCGAGGAACGACATCTTGGCCTTGCGAGGAAGATACCCTGCCTCGTAATTTCGTAATTTCCAGCTGACTGTGCGTATTGGTTACAAGGGCCGAAAGATTCCGACAGATGCGAGTACGCCGGCGGCGCCATCAACTTCCTACCCCCTGCACTCTCAACCTCCCCCGTGTCGTTCAGCTCTTCCTGGTAGGAATCGGAGTCCCATGAAAACTGGTGGTTCATCTCATTGAGCACCGTCTCCGAGTCCAGTCCGCGGCGAGAGCCTTGACCACCTCATCCTGCTCCTCTAGCACAAATGCCGCTATGCCGCTCTGTAGGATGCACCCCTCAGTAGCGGCACAGTGCCGTTATTCAGGGCATTTCGCTGTTCAGGGTACCGCTATAGAGGACTGCCGACTGGGGCATCTACCGCGCGCGTTTATTCTTAGCATCGACCGCGCTGACCGGCTGACCAATGAAAAGACGTCAGTCAGTGGGGTTGGGGCGAATATTATCCAAGAGCCAAAAATCATAACCCAAATGGGCACAAAAATCAAAATCAAAATGTGTTATCGTGGAAAACTGAAAAAAGCGGGTCGACCGTGTTAACGAGGATAGGAGACAGATGAGGCAAAAAATAAAATAAGGCGCCAGGGGAAGAGCCAGCAGCGAAGCGGTGATTTTTTTAGGGTAGGTTCTGCGCTCGTTTGTTCACGTGTTAGCCGATATCTCGCCAAATAGTTAGCGAGTTGCCCCAAGAACGGTATCCGGGTAACATGGGCTGTTGGGAAATGCCAAAGTTTGGCGCCGCGAGGTGCCAAATGCGCCGGAAAAAAAAGGTTGTGTTGAAGCAAAAATGGCAACGGTTGCGAGCGGTCACTTCAAGTTGGGTGTTTTGGGCCACCACGAGTTTGGTTATCCACCGATAACTTTCCGAAGGAGCAAGCAACAGCAACAGCAACGCCACGCGGCGGGAGGTACCTCTCTGCTCAATCTTTCAAGCCCAAGGTCTGCTGCCGTGGGGTATCGTGCGTATAGGGAAAAAAAAATTGGTTGACCATATAATATCCACGTCAGAGAGCGGTTAGTTCAAGTTCGCGCCGAATGTCTGCTCACAAGTTAAGTTTTTCAGAGATAACCCTTCGAGGGAGGAAGCAACAGCATTAGCAATGCCACGCGAGGGGAGGTAGTTCTACCCGCCATCTTTCTCGTACAAGGTTAGATGCCTTGGGGTATAGCCAGTGTGGAGAAAAAAGGTTGCTGCAAAAAAAAGGTTGAAACTACCCTCTCCCGCACGGAACAGCCCGAAAAAGCCGCGCAGCCCTGTTCTGATCGTCAGTCCGTTCACCGCTTGTCACGATCGACATTTTCTCCTCGAGCACCCAAGGAGCCGGCCCGGTTTTTGGCTTGCCGGCGAGCAGAGTCTTCTGGCTACAATAATGGCCATGGTCTCGGTGGTAGGGTGCCGATAGCCCCTCTATGAGCAATGTACAGCAGGTTGTGCCGTACACTTGGTTTGCAGCGGCCTCGCGGCAATTTCTCCAAGCCTTCGAAGTCTTGAACTCCTTGCCTCTTTGATTATTGATTTTGATCAAAAAAGTCCCTCGGGGACTTCTTCCCAGAGAGAGGAACTTCCAGAACACCAAAGGGCGTCGTCAGGAGGTATGAGAATTTCGACCAATCCGAGCTCGTGATTTTTAGCGCTTCGTCAATATACGGCCTTAACCCTCTTAGTACCCTTTCCCTCCGCATGAAAAAAATGTCAAAAACAAGTTTGATTTGTCGAGGGGTCCCTTCAAAGAACCTGGGCTCCTTGTCATAGAAAGGGTGAATTGGCTTCAGTATCAAAAGTGTCGCCGAAACACGTGGGGACACTTTTCATACTGAAGCCAAGCCAGCAATTTTTTTATCTTTTCCAGCACCAGGCGGTGTACAGCAGTTTTACGACCTTGGGGGCACGCGGTTTGGGACATGTTTGCCCAGGAGAAGCATCTCACACAGCATATCACACAGCGTACCACCTCAGTCAAGCATGATAGACCAAGGGTTCTCACGTGCATTGCCATGCCGCCCCCGCACGGGGTCCCAGTCAATGGCATTTAGAAGTGTTTCGTTTTCCTGCAGCAGTATGTACTGATGTAACTGCTGTATGTAGGACTGGAAGCCCGAATGGGGACACTTTGGGACACCACACTCAAATGCCATACCATACCGTACTGCTGTAGTCACCCTACGGCTCCGCTGTGTGGGAGGCTAATAAGCTATTATCCAGATCAAACACGGAAACGGTAGCAACAGAAAAGACAAACTGACGTGTCTACAGGCTGCTGCACCTTGCGCTCGAGTTCGTGCGCGTCTGCAAGATTGATGTGTTGGCATGATATCTACCGCTTCAGACCTCTACACGTTCTTGATCTTGTCTGTTCCCATGCATTTGAAGCAGGTCGTGGGGCCATGGATTGGGTAGACTGCTGCTGTTGTGGAGGGGCTTTCGAGGGCCAGGAATGTTCTATCACCTCACCCTTCGCTGTACCCTGTACAGTCGTGGCTCCGTTAGAAGAGGGTACCCTACAAGAGGGGGCTCCGATGAAAGAGGGTCGAAATCGGTTGTCACGGACTCGACTCGCTATAGCAGGGTTACCCTCTTATACAGAGACCGGACCCTTTATTGTGGGGTCACCCCACTATTAGAGGGGGTTTACCGCGCTTAGGGGGCTTGTAAGTGAGGGGCTGTCGCCGGTGTGTGGCTCCCCCGGCCTTTCGCTCCCACACAAACACACCTTCCTCACAACAACGCCGCAGGAAGAATAGACCAGAGAGGAGCTGCCAAAGAACAGTGTATTTTGAAACTGGTGGCAAATGCAAGGAGGATGATGCAAAGATGATGAAAGCACTCCGAAACGAACACATGTGCAAAGTAGCAGCCTTGAGTAAACACGTGCAGCTTTCTTCTATTGCTACCGTCTCCATCTTTCATCTGGAGAGTAGCTTAGCCTCCCCCATGGCGCCCCCCAATCCCCTGATGGGATCCCAGACCATTGCGGCACTGAGACTAACGTGTTTTCATTGGCTAGCTGGTTAGCGCGGTCGATGCTAATAATAAAGAACTGCAGCGCGGACAGACCTTAAGTGTAGTTCTCCTCTAAATAAATGTGGGCAATGTGTGTGTATGTTGGTGTGCGCCAGGGCCAGGGGGAGGTAGACCGTTTGTTGGTGCAATACAACACTTTGTAGCCTGTGTACATCAAGTTTGTTTCTCATGGTCGGAGAGGTGTCGAGGCATTGAAACATACGGTTCCGACTCTATCGATTAGGCTATTCATGCATGAACATGTACTTTCTTTCGCTCCTATTAATAGTACCAATGGCTGCGTCAACTTGGCTGCGAGGCAATTATTCTTTCAGATCTGCAGATGTAACGAGCGAACGAACAAAATACAAAACGGAAAGCGTTGCCGATACGATCACAATCACCCGGCTTGCTTTGGTCGCGTGAATTCGGGCAATCAGCCCAACACACGTGCTTCACAGCACACACCTACACTTGCTTTGGCGTGTGAAATCGGGCAATCAGCCCAACACATATTCAGAGCAGTCCAGCACAAAACATGCTTACACACGTACACGGAAAACTGGTACGCTGTGCTATAGTCAAAGCGCCTTTGTTGTTCGAGATTTTCCGACTTTCCCTTGTTGTAAGAGGGTACAGTACCCTACTATGGAGCACCCTCATACAAGAGGGTAACCCTCTTACCGATACACGAGGGGGCTCCGATACAAGAGGGTGGAGAGCCGTTGTCACACCACCGGGTGGAGAGCTGTTGTCGCACCACCCTCTTATTTCGGAGCCACGACTGCTGTAGTGCCAAATGAGAGAGAGCCAGCTCAACGGAACACACGAAGACTGACCTTCACGGTCACCGAGTTCGATGAGCGACGCAGGTGCTCGTGCCACACCTTCGGTGGCAGCTTGTGGTGAGCTGGACATGAGATCTCGAAGGCAGGGTGGATCATTTTTTATGGACCCTTTGCCCTCGCAGCTACCAGACAGCAGCTTGGAGAACCGGAGTTGGTTGCGCCGCCGTTTGTGCCCGGCGCTTCAAGTTGTGACGCACAAGTGACGCTTGGGGGGCGCGTTTCAAAACAAAATCCCATCCATGGAGCCCCCGAGTGTCGGAAATTTGTCGGCTCTGTGACTACACACGCCATACCACAAAGATAGACGCCGGCGGGTGGTCGAGTATAGAAAACAGGTGGAAGCACTGGGGTGGACTGGCTGTTTTGTGTCAAGACGGGCTGCGTGCTGAAGACACGAGGCGGGCGGTGCTTCAGTCGGGGGGGGTAGAGAAGAAAGGATCATCTCACCATCACACACACAGGAGTTTTTTGGCTTCAACTTGAGACCACGAAGATCGATCTATTGACGGCTTTTGGCGGACAAGCGAGAGGGGTGTGGCGCAAAGGGTGTGACCAGGGGGGGAGGGGGGTTAACGAGAGAGAGTCACGAGGCGTAGCACGCGTGCGGATCGACAGGGAAGGCCCAGGCTATGGCTGTCTCCGGCAAGGGAGCTCTCTCCTTCAGGGTGAGTCGAAACGCCGACGATCGTTGTCGTGCACACGTTGCAGCACAGGCTTCCAAAAATAACAGACCACTTGTTCTTCAACGCCCCGCCAAACCGGCAACCTCTTTTTGGTCGAACGTCATCTCTCGCCATAGTGTTTTGACCTACGTGCTTTGTCGGCTAGCCTTTGCTGGAGCGGCGGGGCACAGCAGTAAAATGCTTGTGACGCGTCAAGAGAGAGATCACGGGAGGTTGTATTTTGTAACTCGTGGTCTTCACCGCTCTCTCTCCGTGGGCGGGTGCGGTTTAGCCCGCGTCCGCGCACAGGGTCTCCGGAAAAAATTAGCTGCTGCTTTAACCCGTCGGCGTGGCAGCAGAGTTGCCCGTGACAGGTCGCCCCTTGCACACACACACACACACACACACACACACACACACACACACACCGTCTTCCTTTTACACTCACTGCTGTTGTGTTTTCGGCGAGTGTCTACTCGAACGAGTTTTTTTGCTTCGAGGGCGTTTGCCGTACTCACCCATCTTTGCATACAAACGATTTTTCAACGGAGTGTAAAGCATTATTTAGTCCATTGGCGGATGTGGCGCCACACTAGAGAGAGCCCCTGTAGATGTGGACAGGGTTAAACTGAACCCCCTCATCCGCGGTGCTCTACAAAGCACAGAGCGGTGTGAGCGGCTTGACCTTCGAAGACCCCTCCTGTCGCCTGCATTCAACGAGAGCCACCACCTCCCTCTCACCACGACCACAATTTCAAAAATATTTATACAATATCCAACCGTTTTTTTTTTTCCGCGAAAAGTGTTCGGACTTTCTTTTCCTCAAGGTCGATTACGTGCGGACCGACTGCCTTTGATCCATGCATTAGGGGAATTGCGCAAGGCTTTCTCTCCCTCGGGTTCGGCAACACTTCAGTACCCACTGAAACACGAAAAGACGTCGGACAAACCGCGTTTGATAAATCCTATGCATCTTAAAAGTAGCAAACGTTTACATGTGAGAAATCGTTTTTTTCTCCGCGAAAAACCACTCCCTCGACTCCCAAAAAAATATGATGGTATGTACCATTATCGTCGATTTCCACTTTGTCGATGGTATCTTGCCTCGGGTCTTTAGTCGTTTACTGGCGGCGGTGTGTTGTTGAAGAGTGTCCAAGCTGCTCTGGTGTTTTTGGATGTATGTACTGCTAGAAGGGAACCTGTGGGCAGGGTTGTTATAGGGCAGACGGTCAAGAAAATACTTGTAGGAGTTTGGAGCGGGTGGATCGGCACCGACTCGCGTTCCCCAAAGGCCTTCCTCTCTCCGTTGGCACGCCTACCACCCAGCACTCTCTCACGTTCAAACGCAGCAAGCGTTCGTTGTGGTTCCCATTACCCGGTGGCTCCCACTACGTGGAGAGTTGATTGTAGGCCATGATATATTGTCGTGGCGGATGTACGACTGCTGTGGTAAAACCCTAAACATTGGACTATAGGACAGCAGCCGTGCCGTCCCCTCTCAGTCAGAACGAAGACAGCAGCTGCATGCTATCGGAACACCTACTTCCTCGCCACAACATCCGCCCGCCCGTTAATAGTCCAAGGAGCACCACTTGGTTGGGACCGGTTAATTAACTTGTGGTGCATGGATTGCCTGCTGCTGAATGGCGTGGCTAGTTTTGAATCAAATCCCCCTGCACTTGCACGCCCCGTGTGTGTGTGACGCCAGGGATGAGAGCAGTCAGAGGAAAGCGGTGATAAATTCTGAACTGCAGCAGCACTGCCTGTGGTATTGGGTAAGCAGCATTTAGCGATGTGAATTATTTTCAACCTGCAGAACAAGCCCTTCCAACACAAGTTCGAATAGTAGAAGTAGCAATAGTGTCTGGTGTTCTCTTCGAACACAATGAGAGTATTTGTGGTAGCACAAGTCCGGTGTTTTGCGCTGTATTCTTGAAATACCCGTTCCCCACTCACTCCCACCGCTCGACGACTGATAGTGGAACCACATTGAACCATTTCGAACTCAATGGTGAAACGCTATAACAGTCACAATACTTAAGGAGGAGTCCTTTGGGAAGATAGCTTATGCCTAGACTTTTAAACTTAATAAAAACTTAAAAAGATTAATACCAAGAAATTTGAAATACTATTACTTAAGGTTTTATGATTTTTGTTCAATGGAAATGGAATATGCAATTGTAGAAGCAAGTGGCCGACAGTTCTGGGTGGAGCCGAAAAAATTTATTGAAAGTCTACACCCACCTCTCGAAACACGCTACAACCTAAAGATACCTAGATAGCGAAATAGACTTAAAGTTTGGTTAAGCATCTATTTTTGGCCTAGGCTGGGTTTCGTGTTGTCTCTTGTGGGCTTACGTAAGTTTCAGCCTAGGGACCTTTAGCCGGGCTCACGAATGGTGCTCAAGTTCATATGGGTTGTAGCCGACGGGTTGATACAATGCAAAGCATAACGATCTGTAACTGGCCAAGTTCCCAAGTGCGGGCAATTACAGAGTGCTATATTAGTAGGACTTGACACCGAGGCGGTGCTCCTATGTCACGTGACTGGTGTTGTACAACACTGCTGCTGCTGCCTCGCGCCCCGTCGAAGGTGATCGCTCGCGTGGGCAAGGGGGAGCAGGTGATGGTGTGCGGAGACGCCCCGTGCTTGGGCAGCGGTGACCCGGAGAGGGCACTCCCGCTCTTCACGACTCCGGCAGACTATCCGCTGTGGTTCAGCAAGGTGAGACAAGCGTGCCCGGCTTGCACTATTATACAGCAGTTGGCTCGCGCGCTTGAGAACGTCTGGTTTTCTTGGCTGCGGCTGGGGTTCTTGGTTCCTCCTGTGGGAAGTGCAAACGACCACTACAGTTCGTGTACGAAGTAGTTGGAGTAGAAGCAATTTGAGTGCAGGGTTTTTAGCCGAGCTCCAGCGCGAATGGTGTAGTTCCTAGATTTTGAGTGTTCGAGGTAATTATTGTACGTACTTATCAATTTCTTGTGATTTCCAAGTTCTTAAGTGCCGGTGTTTTCTGTATTTTGCTGTTTGCATCTATATCTATATTGCGGTAGATTTTCGTCTTTGATGGTGCCATTATATATACCCGAAGCAAGGGCGGTGCTCGGCGTGCACTATTTACTATCTTACTGCTGTTTTTTGGTGCGGCTTTGTGTATACATAGCATACAATCACAGAAATAATAGCATTCACCCGTTGGAGATGTTACCACAGCAGCACTATTTAGTAGAAGTCGAACGATTGGTCGTCTCCGATGGTGGTCGTTGTCTCCGCAATGTTGTTTCGTACCAAACCGCATTTGTGGTGTAGGTTAACACACGCGAAGCTAGAAGGCAAGGATATCGTCTACAAGACTTGGACGAGCTGGTGCGATGGCGCCTGTGATTGCCACAATCTCTCCTTCGGTCTTTCCTTTCCTGTTCGCAGGACATTTGGCGGTGCATTTGTGTTCGTTCGAAAGCCCGCTTGGAATGTTCCGAGGGCGTCGGAAGCTTTTTTGAAATCTACCTTGAGGATTTTTCTGACTGTTTAGTGTTGCATCAGACGACCCGTTCGTTCGATTCAGCCCTGCGAAACACGCGAGGGTTGAAGGGTAAAGGTACAGGAAAAAGACAGAAGTGGAGTGAGATTCCCTGTTCCATGGCGTTGTGTGGCAATGTGGCAGTAACCACACAACCATACATACCGATTTGCCAGATGGATTATCTGTCCGATTTTAAAAGTATGAAGAAAGAACGAAGTTATGCCCCATAAATCGATTCTGGCAGGGCGTTTTGTTCACAATCGTTTGCGAGAACCAACTTCACGATTTCAAAATACACAGTGCGGCAAACGATTCCTCTTGAAATTCCGCGGATGGATTTACTTTCGGATTTTTCATAAAAACTAAATTTCATGAGATATTCCATGATTTGCTTGCCGCTGTGAGACGAAAAGTTCGCACGCACACACACCACCCATATGCATACAATATGTATGTAAGTATGCATGTGATCGGAGCAGGTTGTGTGTGTAAATGTTTGTACAAATGGAACAGGATACGTGGTGTTTGATATGCATACCATATGCATATGAGTATACACAAAGCAGTTACAATTGGTGCAGAGCTAGAAAGCCCTGGGAGTTTCCGTGGTATGATTAGGGGGTTCCTTGGATCATTTTGGCCAAAAATGTTACATTTTCTCAAAAATGAAAAACTCTGCAGCTATGTATCGACGTGGCTCGACGAGGCGATCACGAATATCGTTGTTTCACGTTCCAACTCTTTTTTTTTTACGAAAGTTATCGCGCAAAACGTGAATGGAAAAATTGTCCCGGCCGGACCATACAACCTTCACAGGCAGGAGGAGGAGTGGTGTAAGCAAAGGTTCTGATGGAAGCCGTTGGCGAGCTTTGATAAGCACCAGGTATTGTTTTAGGTATACTTCTATATCTACAGGCAGTCGTAGTCCCGACGATCGCGGTCCCGCTTACCGCGGTTCCCAAAACACATTTTATATCGCGATTATATCAAGTCCTTTCCACTGATGTCCCCTACAAGTTTATGGCGTTGATCCACCTGTGTTTGTGCGTATTTCAGGAAGAATTGCCAAGACCAGCGGGAAGTAAGACGGCGCACGACTTTCGGTACTGCGTGTACCGAGGTGGCAGGTATGTATGATATCCTTGACGCTCAACGTTTAGCCTCCAATGAACAATGCAATACACTTACAATACACTTGGATGTGATGCTTTTTTTTTGTCGTGTTTTTTTTTTTATTTTTCAATTTTTGGGACGCAAGGTATGAACATTATTGGTCGGCCATGTAGTGAGCATGGCCGAGGCGTTGGTCAGCTGTAGGTTTATGTGCCAGTACTCAGAGCAGCGTTAAGTGTGTCCCGTGAAGGTGGTGGAGAATGCTTAGTTGTGTCTGCCTCTGCTGACCTTGTACAGCAGGACCACCTGAACCAGCCGTTCCTTCTCTCCATCGTGCCGCCTATTTGACGATGGTATCAGTAGAGGGTTAGTGTTAGGTTTTATCGATGAAGTGAATATGTTGGAAAGCATGCAATCGGGGAAGTTGGGTCAGGGTTACGGTCTGCGTACCCCCTCCCTGTTCTATTTCCTCTTGAACTTCATGTCTCGCGAAAACCGTCCGATGGTACGTACATGTTGGAATACCTACCGGTTCGTCTTACAGGAGAGGTTCCTGTTCATGTAGCGCCGGTGCCCGGGATATTGCCGGTGTTTTCGGCGGGCACACAGCGTTGAATTCCAAGCCGTTCGCAATACTTTGGATAGTGCCGGTCCGGTACAGCACTGCCGTTGAAATTTCTGGGCACATACCGGCACTTCACACGACAGCTGTACTCTGTTTTGTTCTCTTGGGTTCCTTTCGTTAGGTTCTACCGATGGGACGCCGTCGAGCAGCCTAGGGTCATCCGCTCCTCAAAGACTCCCCAAATCGCCAGGGACACCCTC